TGCTGGACTCGGGGCGTCCCGAGCCAGAACACCGGTGGTCATGCTGCTGGAGGCCTGGGGGGCCGGGGGGCGGGGGTTCCGGGTGCTCTGCGGACTCCAACACCGTGGCCATGAACGGGAGGCTGGACTTCCTGAAAAACAAGCTGGCCCACCAGTGACCCGGGTCAGCCTTGGGGAGACCTAGGGGGTGGGGAATGGCTTCCCCGGGGCACTCGATACTGCCGCAGGAGCTGTTGCTGAAAGTGGAATCCAGGCGGCGCCGGTAGTAGTCGTAGGTGACCAGGAGCGAGCCGCTGGAGGGGATGGCCGCCATGCTCTGGCTTGCTGGCTGGTGGGACCTCCTGAAGTATGTTTTTAAAAGTGCATATGAGAGAGAGGTAATGTAAAGACTTTGTGTTTTTCTAGATGTAAGTATTTGTTCATGGCAGTATTGGTTGGAAGAGTTTTGTTTGTTCAACACAACATTGATTTAATGATAGTTGTGTTTAACAATTTTTAAAAGAAAAGTTAGCGGTGACCTCATTAATTTGTTTAGAAGTAGAGCACTCTGTTTCTTTCATTAAACTTTGATGGAGATTTTTGGTACTTCTAGATTAGCACTCATGTGAAGTTACAAATTAAAATCTTACTTTTGCTTTCTCCAATGTCTGACTAATTCTTAGAGGAGCTTTTAAGTAATAATAGCCAAAGGCAACTATAGCACTTAAAGGAAAGGGATTGGATTGAATTTTTAAGGTGAACTGAGTCTAACTACTGTTGAAATAAATGTTAGGTTTGAAGAGGCAAACCAAGTGTATTTAATGCTAACCATGTTCCAGGCGTTATTCTAGGTACTTCATGAATATTAACTTATTTATTCCTCAAAACAGTACTTTCAAGTAGCTGCTAATATCATTCTGATTTTTCAAATGATGAAACTGAGTCACAGAGAAGTTCAGAGATTTTTCCAAGGACACACATCCTACAGTGGTGGAGCCAGAGTTTAATTTCTGTGGTCTTTGGTCCTTATCACTGCTACATGCTCTCATGTAACTAAAACATTAACACAATGATTAATTCATAAACATAATATTTTCAAAAACGATAGCTAAATGTTAATATGGTTGTTCATGTTCCAAGATAATTATTAGGCTTATTTATTTTATTTTTTTCTCTTGTTATTTTTATTTCAATAGTTTTTGGGGTACAGGTGGATTTGGTTACATGGATGAGTTCTCTTGTGGTGATTTCTAAGATTTTAGTGCATTCATCACCCGAGCAGTGTACACTGTACCCAATACGTAGTCTTTTATCCCTCACCCCCCTCCCAAACTCTCCCCCACCCTCAGATCCCCCAAATCCATTTGATTACTCTGTATGTCTTTGTGTCCTTAAGACTTATTTATTTTAAATGTTTGGTGTATTCATATTTATGACACCTTTCCCCCTTCATGTTCTTTTACCTTTAAATAAATATTTATTACATTAAAACCAAGTATAGAACCCCCAGATTCCGTAACATAGAATAATCCTGCCTGAACATATTAAAAATTCATTCTTAAGAAATGTTGCAGGCCAGGCACGGTGGCTCATGCTTGTAATCCCAGCTCTTTGGGAGGCCGAGGAGGGCGGATCATGAGGTCAGGAGTTCCAGACCAGCCTGGCCAACACAAAGAAACCCTGTCTCTACTAAAAAGACAAAAATTAGCTGGGCATGCTGGCAGGTGCCTGTAATTCCAGCTACTTGGGAGGCTGAGGCAGGAGAATCTCTTGAACCCGGGAGGCGGAGGTTATAATGAGCAGAGATCGTGCCACTGCACCCCAGCCTGGGCAGCAGAGCTAGACTCCATCAAAAAAAAAAAAAAAAAAAAAACAAAGAAAGAAAGAAAAGAAATCATGAAAAATGTATAAAAATCTTAAAAGTTCTTACAATAATTTACAATAAACATAAGACTTAAATGAACATAAACTTAAACATTGGAGATACAGTATTATAGCAGGCCAATAACACTCATAAAAGCTGTTTTCTCTGTTTGATTTCTCCTTAATTAAGGGAAGGTGATATTTACAATAATAAAAGTATCTGATATAGGAATGGGAGATTCTTTTTAATATGAAAAATTATACTAACCTGACACTGTTTCAAAAAGTAATGACTTAATAATGATAGAAAAAAATTCTGGTTATTAAAAATAACATAAAAGTGTTCTTTATTTTGGGAAGGGCTTCAAAATCATCAATTATATTTCATATTCACTCCAAGTTGTAAAAACTATCTTGGAATAAGTGTATCTGTATTATTACGTAACTTCCATAAATGGAAAACCACCTTTCCCCCTCCTCTAAGCTTTAATAAAACAGGCAAATATACATCTCAATAGCAGATTAAGGCTTTTTTTGTAGCTAAGCCTAATTAAAATGGCAACATTCCAATGCTTTCTTTACCAGGGAGCAAGGACATCTGCAAGGGATAAAAAGATAGCAAGCATTTTGATGCATTTGTTTCCAGTCTTTAAATGTGGCAACAGAAAACAGGGATTGATACTGGCTAAGCTACAAGCAACATTTGAGTTAAATGTTTTAAAAGAGTACAGGAAATCAAAGCAGTTAAATAAATTGTGATTTTAGGTTGTTGTTTTGCCTGCTATTTCTGCCTGTTTTCGTAGCATAGACTTCCCCAAATCGTGTCCCAGCATATTATAATTCCCTCTTGGAATTATTTTCTACAAGAGAACTCTACAAGAAAGAAGCTGGTTCATCTTTAATTAATCCAACATTTCTCAAACTCACTGACCTTGGAGTACCTTTTATTTTCTTTCTTTTCCAGCATCAACTACATGCACATTTGAGCACCGTTTGGGAAAGGCTGCTCTAGCATACTGTCCCTTGCCATTTTAGAATATTGCCTTAGTCTGTTTGTGCTGCTATAACACAATGCCACAGACTGGGTAGTTTATAAATAACAGAAATGTATTCCTCACAGTTCTGGAGGCTGGGAAATCCAAGATGAAGGTTTGGTGTCTGGTGAGAGCCCAGTCCCTGCTTCCAAGATGGTGTTTTATAGCTGCATCGTCTGGAGGAAATGAACATGATGTTCTTACGTGGCAGAAGAGCAGAAGAACAAGAGAAGTTAACTCTCTCTGAAATCTCTTTTATAAGGGCATTAATTCTTTTGTGAGGGTAGAACCCTCATGACTTAGTCACTTCCTCAAAATCCCCACCTCTCAATATTACCATGGTGAGGATTAAGTTTTATATTTTGGGTGACATTCACACTGTACTAAATATTATTACTAAACCTCCAATGTTTTCAATTCTTTTCTGTTTCCGGATATTATTTCACAGTGACCATACATATTCTACATATTAAAGTGCCAATCCAAATTACAAGATAGGAAAGCAGTGAAGGAGAAAATATAACTTTCACTGCCACTTAGACGAAATCTTAAGGCATTTATTAAAAACTGCTTCTTTATGTTACACTGATATGTATAAATTCCCTTTTCCACTTCTCCGGTAATTGACTGAAAACATTTTGTGGCACAAGACTATGCTACATTCAGATTCATTCATAACTGTCTTAATACCTAGCAGTGTACCTAGAATACAGGAATAAACCAATAAATATTTACTGAATCAAATTAAAGAGCTTAGATTTCCTCAGCTTATTAATTTTCATTCTATGCCTCTTAAACCCTTGGAATTAGATCAGCTGAAAATTGACTCTGACTTTTTTTAAAAAAGATTACTTTGTGTTCATGGTGGAATTTAGCAACAGGTGAATTAATAGTGAATTTCAAGTATACAAATGAGATAGCCAGGACACTTATGTCGATCATTTTAAAAATTCTTATATTGCTTCATACACATACTAGAACTGAGAATTCTAACAGTACTTTTTCTGAGGCTTTTGTTTATTTGTATATTTTATTTTACAAAGGATGAAAATTTTCTTTTCCAAAAGTCCAAATGAACTTGATGCATATTTTCTTTTAATTTCATCATTTTAAAAATCCCAAGGATTTTAAAACTATGAGAGAAAGATATGAAAACACTGCCAGGGGTATTTTCCTTGCAAGCAAATATTTCAGATGAATAAACTTCACTTAGTAGAAATATTTCAAAGCATCAGTTTTTCTCAGGTTACATTTTTCACCTGTCATGTGGCACAAGATGAACAGATAGAAGGTTACAAGAGCCAGATTTGGAAAAGGCTTTCTTTCACAAATAGCATCGCTTGTGCCCCCAGCTAGTTAAATTCTGTCCTGACAAGCAGATAATGAATATGTTTCTGTAATGCAGTGACTTTCCTTTATTTGCAGAAACTTTTATTCCACACACCATTCCATGAAAATAAAAATAAAACTCAGCCTTCTTTCAAAGGACAAATTTATTCCATAAAATAATATTCTAAAATTTATTATCTAATATTTATCAGCACTTGAGTTTTTTAAACACATCTTTAACAGTTATAATAGTCTGGCATTTTCTGCATAAATGTGACTTCAAATCAGTTTGGCAGGACAAAAATTCTAAGCTTCAATTACATACTGCAAGTGAAAAATACATATCTATTAATCTATAATAAAATGTTTCAAGCATCTGCTAGGTTATTAGTAGCAACACTTTTAAAATTTGCAAATATTTTATTTCAGATAAAAAAATTTGTCATGATTTTTTCTTGTACAATACAAGAAATACAGTACAAGTAAATACAATATTTAAGCAAATACAATATTTAAGCAATATTTAAGCAAATATTTTTATTATTTTGACTTTCAGGTACAATTTTATTTATTTGACATATAAAATTACAGTGCATTAGAATTTTTTACATTGACATTATGTACCGAAGTATAATGATTAGCTTTCGTTTAAGGAAACAAAATTTGCTCTAGGTATGTCAAGCAGAAAGGAATTTAATATAGAGGGTTGGGGTTGTAAATATGAACTAGAAACTGCCCTTTTTCCTGCTTTAAAAGATATTAGCAATGGCAGTGATGGTCACCTGTGGAACGATGTTATCTTGAAGCAGGGAGTCAATGTAGTCAGGCGACAACCTGTAATGACAACTTGCACAGGCTTTACATAAGGACAGCCTGTTGGAACAGGATGGCAGGGACATCCCAGAAGCCATCAATGCAAGCCTGTGAGAATTTGATACGTTGGAGCAAGGCAGTAAGTACATGCAGTCTGGCAGGGATGGTGATTAGTGACATTGAGGAAATTGGGCAAATAAATAAATGAAGTATGGAAACAGATTTCTCACTGAAGGAGAAGGAAGGTACAAATATGGACATAAGGGAAGTTGGAATAAACCTGTGGTGTTAGACTGAAATTGGCGGTACTGGCATA